CAGGTTACAGTAAGGGGGAGTTATCCCAGGTGTGACAGATTACAGTAAGGGGGAGTTATCCCAGGTGTGACAGATTACAGTAAGGGGGAGTTATCCCAGGTGTGACAGGTTACAGTAAGGGGTTGTGCTGCGCTAGTGACCCTAGACAAACACCCCCTGATAATAACTTTGTAAAGCATCTGAAGGACTGTGAGACTTGGACCTGAGGGGGAATCCTGGCCAGCGTGGGATATCCACCTTTGGCTGTTTTTCTCCGCAGTCCCAGCAGTTGTGATGGGGAGTAATTCTGCCAGTACCCGGCCTGCGTAGCGTCCTCCCACAGTCCTTTGGAAACCTTTATGTCAGCAGGTAATTGGTTCCAGGAAAGCTTGACCCTGAGGAGGGGGGAGGGGAGAGTGCATCTCTGGGATTCGTCCCGTTTCATTACCAGGCCTAAAAATAATGTAGAGGGCATTTGGGTGACCGGGTAGGAGGCGGAGACAAGGGAAAGGGGTTTCTTGCTTGGGGGGGCTGAGGCTGTTTAACATGGTTTTCCCACAGTGAAGGTGCGGGTAACGGTGGCGGGTAACGTTACCATGGCACTGATGCGTGTTATGGAGTCTGGAGGAAGCCGTCTGGGTTGCATGTGTAGCTGCTATCGATTTTTCTGTGGCTTTTTTGCTGCCTGATCATCTGCTTCCATCCTTAGTTATAGAAAGGGGGCCTCTGGAGACTGGTCGTTTCGGGGGTCAGTACTCACTCCTCTAGTGACTTCTGTGTCTCATGGGGTCCCTTCAGGGTCATGGCTGGACGTCTCAGCTTGCGGGTGTCCGAGAGCTTGTTGGCTTCTGCGTGGTGTCTTGTTGTGCCTCGTTACTCCTGCCACAGCTTCAAGCTTCCTGTTGCTCCCGGAGACAAGGCCGTTAATCAAAGGTGGAGGGGGGGTGGTGGAGGGGGGGTGGGGTAGCTTTTTTTGTCATCTCTTTTGAAATGACTCAGCCACCGAAGAAAACTGGCCTTAAAGGAGCAAATGATCCTTTCCAGTTTTATTCTGTACATTCCCTGCAGTGTTCACCTCACATGTCTAACAAAGGAGACGCCGTCAGGCCACGATGCCCACATGACATGTGAAGCCTCACCACCTTGCCACCGCGCTGCCTGCGTCAGTCCAGGCCTGGCACATGGCAGGACGGGCACTGCCAGCATGTTTGTCTGTGGTGCACACATACGTGTGTGTGTGTTCATACGCTGCTGCGTTCCAGTCGTCTGTGTGGGGGGGGGCAGGGGGGGCTCAGTCTCCTTCTCCTCTGATTGATTCCTCAACACCCCCCCCCACTGGAGCATGCCACAAGACAAATTGCAGCAGTCCGTCTGCCAGCTTTGAAATGCACCCTCCGCTACGGCTAATCTGCATCTGCCCCCCCCCCCCCCAGACCTCCCACCACTCTCCCGATTTTTTTTTTCTTCAAGCGACAAGTAAAGTGCCTTTGTTTGTTCTCCTGCTCCTCATTAGCACCTCAAAGATTCATGGAGGCCTTGTTCACTTCATTTTTAGCTCCACGGGGGTTCGGGGGGGGGACTATGAGGTCACCGTTTAGCAAGGGAGCAACAAAAAAGAACGAGTGATTTTAAGAATGATATTGATTGCTTGCACATAACCATCCGTTACATTAATAAAAGTACGTGAGAGAAAGTGATGAAGGCGCCTGTGTCTCTCTTGCAGGCGGCCTCCTCGGCCCTCAGCAGCCTGGGCCACGTGTACACAGCCATCGGCGACTACCCCAACGCCCTGGCCAGCCACAAGCAGTGCGTCCTGCTGGCCAAGCAATCCAAGGACCAGCTGTCTGAGGCCCGGGAGCTGGGCAACATGGGCGCCGTCTACATCGCCATGGGCGACTTTGACAATGCTGTGCAGTGCCACGAGCAGCACCTGGGCATCGCCAAGGCCCTGGAGGACCGGCGCGAGGAGGCGCGAGCCTACAGCAATCTGGGCAGCGCGCACCACTACCGGCGTAACTTCGACAAGGCCGTGTCGTACCACACGCGCGTGCTGGAGCTGGCGCAGGAGCTGGGCGAGCGGCCCATCGAGATGCGAGCCTACGCCGGGCTGGGCCACGCCGCCCGCTGCATGCAGGACCTGGACCGTGCCCGGCAGTACCACGAGCAGCAGCTGGCCATCGCCGAGGGCCTCAAGGACCGGGCGGCCGAGGGCAGGGCCTCCTCCAACCTAGGTAAGCTCAATGGGGTGAGCAAGGGAGGGAAATGAGGCAGGAGAGAGGGTACCCCTCTGTCAGGACCGCCCACTGCAGAAAGTGGAGGGAAATGAGGCAGGAGAGAGGGTACCCCTCTGTCAGGACCGCCCACTGCAGAAAATGACACAGCCGACCATGCCCATTTATGGATGGTCCAGGGAGCGGAAGTCTCCCACACTGACATCACCTCCCTCCTCAGTCCCTTCTCCCCACCTTGAGTGCTGACCCCCCCACCTCAGACCCATGCAACCCTGCATCCTCACATGTGAAGTCAGTGCCAATGAAAACAATGTGGGCAACAGCCTTTCCTCACCATCTGAATGAGTGAAGCAGGAATTGCATCATTGCAATTGTGGTCTGACTGTAGCCTGATAAACAGTGATTAGAGATTCATGGGCGAAGGGGCTTTCAAAATAAGGAAGCATCTGGCTGTGAGAAAATTAAGCCCCAGGATAGTACAAGACTGTTTGTCCCCAAGGTAAATGTTTAGAGTTTTGTCAGGATGTCACTTTGTATTGAAGATTTCTTTTCTGTACTCCCAGGAAGTCATTTATGAGGTAAGAGAGGCTTCAGCTCGGTAAGAGGTTAGCATTTAGCACTGGGGTCTAAGCTGACTGGCCGGGGTTGAGGTGACCTTATCTTTCTGACCAGGACAGAGAATGTGTGCTATAGATTACCCAATCAGGGGTGCTGTGGGTAGGCGGAGTCCTCTACTGCGCCACCTTCTGCCTACATTTGGCAATTACGGGCCATCATGGACCAGCCTGAAATAACATGCACAGCTGCTCCTCATTATCCTGCTTGTCAGTCCCTCTTACTCCTGCACTGCTGGGACATTAATAATACATGGACTCCTCTACAATGCCCCCCCCCATCCCCCCCCGCCCAACTCACCTTCCACTGCTGGATTTCTATTCTTCTCCAGAGTTATGCACTAGTGCCGACGCACATTTTTTTGAGCCTGGGTTCATCATGCTGTAATCCCTGCGGCTGAATCTGTGACAATACTTAATAAACTCAGGGGTTGAGTCTACCAGAGTGCATCATCAACTGCAGGGTTGAGTCTGTAACCGTTCCTTATAAATACAGGGATTCTGCCACAGTGTGGAATAATTTATGGAGTCCATCAGGGTACCTCAAAAAAGATACCTGTTTATCATAATCATTGCCTGACCTGTATGTCTGGTAAATGTTTAATCTCTTTATTGGCAGCATTTTTGCCAATAGAAATAACCTTTCGGCACAGCTGCTCTGTTGCACACGTCACCTTTGCCACAGCCGCTACTCCATCCCACAGAGACTCACGTCCCCTGGAGTCTGTCAGAGCAGCTTATCAACTAAGAGGCTGAGTATACAAGGTACATTATAAGCACAGGGGTTGAGTGCCAAAGTACTTTATAAATAAAGAGGTTAGTCTGTCAGATACCCTTATAGATTAAGGGGCTGAGTCTGTCAGATACCCTTATAGATTAAGGGGCTGAGTCTGTCAGATACCCTTATA